AGGAAATATTCTAGAGCAACAATAGCACGAAAAGTACAGTGCTAAACAATAACAAGAATAGTAATACAAGAATTATTTTAGAATGGATAACATTTCAAGGGTAAATGCTAGTAAAAATCGGGCAAGGAGTAGTAATGATCTTGGGTAAAAATCAAGTATAACAATATATAAATTTCTTAGTAATTATTTTTACTTTAAAACTTTAATTTGTTAATTTAAAGTGTTTTAACTAATAATATCATAGTTTAGGATAATAAATTCTCAAAGCATTTAATATTCCAAATATTTTGAATATTTTAAAATATTTTAATATTTTCAATATAATTCAAATAAAATTTATAAAAGAAATATTAAGAATCTGAACTTGTGGATCAATAGTACAGTAGATAATACTTTCAGGTTTTAAATGCATGTTTCTGATTCAATATTTACAAGAAACAAAAAGTACAATATTCTTCGTATATATATTTATTAAATATTCTGCACATTTTATATCCAATAATTTTTAATATATATCAAATTTAATTAGGTTGTATAAAGATAAAATCTTTGGTTTATTCAATAATTACAAGCTGAAAATAAATTAAAACATAAAATATTGTATAAGAAAAAAGTTTATTAACTTTAATTCAAATTAGTAATAACAGATTTCATTATACAACTCAAAGAAATTAATTTTAAACTGATCTATTTCAATTTGAAGTTTGTAGATCTATTTCAATTGTAATGTTCCATAGAACTTAAATATATGACTGAAGGATAAGATATTAGCTACAGATAATAAGAATCTAAACAAAATTGATAAACCAAGTGTATTTAATAAGAACCAAAAAGACTAAATTGAAATTCAAGTAAGAATGCCAGTTTTACAAATGATGAAAATAATAGTACTGTGTTTTATTAATAGCATATATTGAGGTTAATAACTACAGTAATTGAAATATTGGAGTTAATTTCTATAATAATATTCCATAGGATCTTTTTCTAGTAAATAGCTGAAAAATACAATTGAACCAATAGGATAAGTAGATTTAAACTAGTGATAAATTTCCTTCCTTCTGTATAAGTTCCCTCTGACGTGGCCTATCTTCTGGATATAAGCTGGTCAACTAGGGTAATCAACTTGACTCAAAGGAAACCAGTAATATTCAAAATAGTATTCACTAGATAGCCTTAATTTACATCTAGGATAGAAATAGTCTAACTTGTAAAGATGTTTGATGTTATGGATTGATATATAATTATTGATAAAAGTCTCATGTCTAATGCCCTTAACCAATTAAAAAAAAAAAGAAAGAAATACTAGGGACCTCTATTATACCTGTCGGTTATAATTTAATATGCATTTTATTAAAAGAAAAAAATTATTGATATTTAAATAAATAAATGTTGGCAAGTGTTTAAGTATTAAATATAAAGTTTTGAAATAAAAGAAGACTGGAGAGAATAGCATTAAGTATAGGTTTGACAACATTTGGAATCAAATTTTGAAACACTGCGATACGAAAATTCAGTTTAAATCTACTGTATTATCACCACTACAATAGCCTTGAGAAAAGGTAGGGGTTGTATTAAAAGCCGCGCTCTTTCATTATCAATTATTTATATTAAAATTTTATGAATTCAATAATTTTTTAATGTACATTAGATCAAACAAGAAAAATTAACGCAAGATATCAATTTAACCAAAATACTGTATAAAGGCCGATGACGTATGCATATCTAGGACTGTATTGTACAGCACTATATAATGCAATGATCATGGGATCCAAATATTGTACTGTACAACAATCCGACAACCTAAGTACCGTAATACTGTACTGTACTGACTTACAACTCAATTTTTATACAGTACTGAAGAAAATATGAAGACCTTTGGGGATCGTCCATGCGAATGCATTCTAGAGATATTTTTATATTTTGAAGATAATTATTCAACTCTTTATTAGTGTTTACTCGTTAGTCATTATTGGTGCAAATTAGTAGTCCCTATATTATGGCATAATCCTTTTCACTATTGGTGGCGTAGCTCTTCTCGACCTGTCGAAAATGTTATCGAAAATAACTGGCACTTATTGCGCAGAACTTATATTGCAACGCTAAATGAAGTTGAAAAGGAAATCCTACACCCCTATGATAGACGCTATAATCCCTCGCAACCGTTGTTTCAGTATTCTGCGTATTTAGAAAACTTTTCATTTGCAGACATCACAAAAATAATAGTAGAAGGTTAGAAAAGACGCAATAAGTCTGTTAATCTATTTAAAAAAATACGTATCGAAAGGCTCGGAAGAATTATGACTGCCATTTTTCAATTGGTCTTGAGAACTAGTAGTTTAAGAGAGATTGAAATATTTGATTATTATGGTGTTCGGAATGACAAACGATTTACCTACGATATTTTAAATGTCATTTTATTTTTCTCCTATCAACCCATATTTTCCCAATTATGCAATTTGACAATACATATTAAGCAAGGTCCATATATTAAGGAGTTATTAAGAAATTAATCAAAATTGTGTACCAACCTTGAAAGGCTAGAATATAAGATTGAACGATATATAGATCCTAAAACCGTGGACTCATTGGCTGCCATCATATCCGCACAATCTAGTTTAAAGAATTTTTCAATGAAAATTCATGGATAGACTACCAAAGAAGATTTATAAATCATTTAGGCTCTCAGAAGGAATCTTTAACTTCACTTTCTTTACACCTTGTCAATTTCTCAACCATTAGTCTGAATAGCATTGCAAAGTTTACAAAGTTAGAATCCATGGAACTACATAATTGCTATTGACCTACGAAAGGCAGCTGTGAAATATTTATGCAATCATCAATTCAGCTCAAGAATTTAACTTTTGACACATTTTACTTAGATGATACGCTTTTAGCTACACTCATCGAAAAAGCTGGTAAAACTTTGTTGAACTTGCAAATTGACAAGGTATCCGGAAAAGTGGTGATGTCATTGTCTCAATTCTGTCCAAACATATCAAAATTCACGTTAGAATACGAGGTACAGAACTATAGCATGTTTATGGATTATTTAAAAGGGTCCAGTATAAGTCAATTAGTCATTAAATCTTATGGTATTTCAATCGACTTATTAAATGGTTTGGCAAGATATGTTCCTTCTAGCTTAGAAGAAATATATCTTTGTTGCCATTTTAAACCGGATTTTCTCATGATATTTCTACTAGACTATAGTGCTTTATCATTCAACACATTGAAGACTTTATGTATTAAGGATCTTGACGGTTATTCTCATGAATACCTTAAGGTAATTGAGCGTTATTCTGTGTACAATGCTTTTAAAACTATTGTGATAGAAACAATGGTATGTATAGATGAGTCATCGGATTTAATTCAGAACATTGGAAAGAAAGGAATTAATGTTGTTTTGCAAGAGGTGTTTTAGCCGATATCGTTACATACTCAGTGTTTGGGCTGAAATTTGTTCTACGAGAAAGAAAAAATGTTTTTTTATTTTAAATATTTTCTGATTTTTGTATATTCTTTTCGAATTTATTTATTTATCCATATTATTTAGTTGGTTATTTTTTTTTGATTAAAATCTTTATTTATTTTTTCTATCTTCGAATTAAAAATAAAATGAGTCGAATCTAATTGATCAAGTAAAAGAGAGTTCGTTAGCTACATCTATAACCAGAATAATTAAAAATTGTATAAAATTATTTTATAATGAATTGGCGAATTAATATTTTGCTAAATGGAATGTTCTTTATTTGCCACCGTCCTAATATTAATAATTATAAAATTACCTCGAATTTTATATTGTAAGATCAGGTTTACAAATAATTGGCTAAAAACGAGAATATACAGTAGAAGCTTTTTAATAACAATAAACAAAGTAGTTAGAAAAGAACCATCGGTTAATTGTTAAGCATCTAAAGTAAAGAGAGAGATCACATACCTTAGCGTTATGCGAGTGCTGGTCAAAGAAGCGATAGGTTCGCCGATTAATCCTATCAATATTGTTTTGTTTTTACTGTATTTAATTTTTCTAAAGATTATCATAAAAGAATAAAAGCATTAAAAATTTATGTCAATTTAGGACACAATAATATTTATTTGTAATTTTGATATCAATTAATTGGTGTCTTTAACTTAATCCAAATTATAAAAAAGCAAATCCATTCATGTACAATGGACTAGCATATTTATATAATTAAGATTGCGATAATATAAACATTCGTTACGTGATCCTTCTTACTGGAGATGGATCCTGGCATGACCGGCCAAATTAATGACGAGAAATGGGGCCATGAAAAAGAACATCGTGATAGTTATCACGTAATACTTTTGTAATAACGTCTTACTTCTATTAATATATTTGTTGTTTTCATGCGATTAATTTATTTTATGTAATTCAAGTATAAAAGTATAAAAGAGTAAAAGTTAATAAAAAGAGACCTCGATCAAATAATAACACCACACCACTTATCCTCTATTCTTAATCATACGTAATGGTTACGCGAATCTCTGATATCTTAGCGACAGACTCATCATTTGATAAACATTCACAAACAAAATATTTCAATAATTAATGACAATAAACTATTTTAATATTAACCATTTGGAATAAATAAATTAAAATATTATCATATGCATTAAAGTATGCGTTATCATTTAA